TTATACAGTGAGTGCAGTTCTGCAGGGAGGTTTTAGGTACTGAACTGCATAATTTTGTTGCTTCTGTTTCCCTCGTATTGGCTCATTGATTCACTTTCAGAGATTTTTCATATAGTTTAAAAGCAGAAAGTCAACAACTTGTTATTGACTACGTCTTTCGGTCGTGGGACTTCACGGCCGAAGTGGTTTGTCATGAAGCTGTGGATATTTTCTCGATGCTCCTATCGAATCATAGCTTGCAGTGTGCTCACTGCAAAATGAGGTGATATATGTGACTTTGCTTTCTTCCTTAATCTATATAAATCATCGATGACATTGAAGAAACTGTCCTTTCTGTTGTTGAAATATTGGGTTAATGCTAGGAGATATAGAGTGACGTGGACAGTAGTTTCGGTCTTATGGTACTGCAACGTACCATAAGCAGTTAAATGCATCTATGAATAAATAAAATTGTCACGTCAGGGTAAAAGAGCGACATGACTCTATCATTCTCGATTACGACTTGTTTGGAAGGGCTGTGTGGCGCCGCAATCCGCGCGTGGAAAGTTATTATAAGAATGCCAGTAGTGGGCAAAAGTCTTAACCCCAGAAGGGGCTTGAACGCGCAACTCACGCGACAACTGCTACCGCCAGCATTTTGAGCGTACGGCAGCGTTTGAGCAACCTGCGAAAAGTTCAAAACTGCCTGCAAAACCCTCAAAACGCTAGATCGATGTTTGAAGCGTCCCTTCGCTCGGAACGGTGCCGCACACCTGATGGAGAGTAGGATTAGGTCCTTACGCTTAGGTCGGGCACACGTGTAGCTTGCTGCTCCTGTGGCGTGTGAAAGAGCTGGGTTTGGCGCGGAGCCAGCCAGTTTTCCATCTATTGTTGGAGCTTGGCAAGCAGCGACAACTGGTAGAGAACTGCACTCAAACCCAGCTCCCCTGAATCCACAAAAAGCAAATCGATCCGTTAATGAGAGTCCGAGGAATGACCGGGAAAGGAACTGGTGAACTGAGCAGTTGGCGAATGTGGGACAGAAGGTGTTAGTACAGGAATACTACTAGTAAAACCGGCTCATATTCTGCGAATATGGAGAGGATGAGATGGCAGAATGCATGAATTGAGACACCCATTCCATTAATCTCTTCACAGCTCTTCTGAGTTCATGCCTTCGCTCATATTCACCGAACTAAGCGTATACTTTCTTTTCACACATTCTTCCGAATACCCGGTTCTTCCTAATCGGAGACTTTCCATACTCGCAGAGTATGAATGCGGGATAGAGAGAAACAGGAACGGGTACGTGCACCGAACGAAATACCTGAATAAGGTGCAAGAATTAGTTTGATTTCCTGCGCAGAATTTGTTTGTATTGAATTTTGATTGTAGACAAGGCTGCGCATGGACCGAGTCACTAGTAACGCAAATACTCGAAGGGGAATCGGAGTGTCGCTCGAAATACAAATGTTTTGTGAGTGATTTTTTTCAAAGTGCTACTTTTTATGCTCACCTTTCTTTTCAACACTCGTTTGTTCAGCTCATTCTGCTTCGATCTCACTCCACTTATACAAAGTTTATGGGAGATTCATTGCTTGAAAAACTTTATTCTCTCATAGGCAACGCTACATTGTCTGTTGTGGTGGGTTAAGATTTTCTTCTGTTTTAATTTTTCTGACGTCAGCTTCATTCTAAATATACAAGAAGAGCCTTTTTATGAATGATGTCCCACTTTTCCTCGTGGTTTAATGATTAGATGGATTAAAAGGTGACATAAATACATATGTGTTGAGTTCTGTATTGGGTATTTTGGGGCAGACTTATCCTGAGAGAGGAGCGCCTGTTTGAAGTAGTCGCTCATATGGTCAATGTAGTTGGTTCGTCCTATGTGAAAGGGTTGACGTTCGTTACTCTGATTAGTTTTCTTGTTTGTTATCATTTTCTTGGTTGTTTTTGTTTTGTTGTTAATTTGCTGCTTTTAAGGTAAGCGATATAATATTATTTGATCTCGTGGAATCCCCGTATCGATGGCCTACACATGTGAATTTTACATTGTCTTGCTTATCTTCCGAAGTAAGCGACGACAGAAATGCTGTCAAGGTTAGTTCCTTCTTCCGTCTTTACTTTGCTGTTCTACTTCTGGATACTAACTTTTCAGGACCGATTGTTTCCTAAATTAATTAGAACAAAGATACTTAAAGAGGAGTTTTTGCCACTAGTTATAGAGCAAATGAAAGGTACGCTGTGATTTTTATCATTGTAGTTCGTTAGTTATCATTGTAGTTCGTTAAGATCATCCCTCCTGCAGATACTTTTTCTGAATTGAGTTCCCCCTGAGTATAATGTACATTAAAAGTTCGAAATTAGCGCCGCTGCGGTATTAGTAACTGAAAAACTGCACGCTACAGCGAGATTTAGATAAAACCATTTAAAATCAAAAATTCTGCCTTCTTAATTGGCGATAAAGATCACTACTTTCTATCTGCTGTTCAATGTCAAACTGAACTGAGAAACTGATGAAAACACTGCTCGTGAGACCCTTCCAAAACACCGGCTACCTACTCAGCAGGTCCGCCTGATGACCCTCCTGCGGATGCGGTCAAGGGGAAGACTCATATGAAGATGTTCTTGGTTCCTACCCATACGCTCGGCCGAAATGTGCCTTAATACAGTGCTACCCTCATTTTTGGGTAAAACTTATCGTTCCGGGGTAACTCTGTGCCTGTGATCTGATCTCTTACATTTTTTTTGCACTTGTCACTCTGTGATTCTTGTCTGATATGACTTTTTTTATATACTGTCTTCATTACTATATCTTGCCTATTTGTTTCCCTCTCGCATATTCGTGAATACGCTTTTGATCTGTTAGTTACAGCTGTAACTTTACCCAATGCGTAAAAAGGAAGGAAAGAAACCTACTGTGTACTCGAGGAAGAACTGAATGTTTGTTGTAAAAATGAGGCAGAGGTAGCTAAGGGGTGCCACGCCGAGGCTGACAGTGTTTTGTCTCCCCTTCTGTTGTCACATTTTTTTGAGGAAGCAAACAAGCATACGATGTCACAACATGTCGTGTCACAGTCACCCACCGCGTACCCACCAACCTTTGCCCTTACTTTATCCTTTCATTCAATGGAATAGGCTGCTGCTACTCACACAAGCTGACTTTTACTTTTCTGTACTGTAGCAGGATACCAGTGCTTTGATTTCAGGCAATTCGCTGAAATTTCACTGCCTCGATTCCTTGCTATCAGTATCCCGATTCTTGATATTATCGCATAAGAAATGTGATTCATATAAATTCTGGAGCGACTATGTACCACTTGATACGATGCGATATGCAGTCCTACACTGTAATGTCCAGGTTAGAAGTCACTTCCTGGAGTCACACCGTGAACTCCTTTTTTATAGGAGCGGCATCTCTCTTGTTGGACTCCATACCTCCTCATTTGAACCTTTTCATTATTTTGTGAACAATAGGTCCGGTTGGCTGCATGGATACTGCTTTGTGAGCATCCTCAGCGGACACACCCATTTTCTGATGATGATCTACAACTTATTCGAGTGTTTGTAACGACAAACATGGTTGAACAAACACCAGCAATACGACAGAAAATCCTTGCAGGGCTGAGGAAGGTCTCTTTTGAAACATTCAATTATTACCGCAATTTCCTTCTTTATCAGTTACATTCTATAGGTTCTTTGCCGGATGGCTGAGACGAGTGAGCAGATCTTGAAAGGGAGAGGCGGTGATATCGGACAAGTTGAGAGATACAACGATTTTATCAGGTGCGATAATTTCTTCTCGTGGCTTTCTGGACTGTACATAGAGCAGAACGGAAGTGATTCAATACTTAGTAACGTCTCTATGCGCGCGGAACCACGGGTGAGGTGCTGGGTTGGCTCTCGTCATGACCAATGAGTTCTTTCACTCCCGTGGTCAGTGAATCGGTCACAAACTCGACTCGTTGGAAATGGAATGTCGGCTGCTTCTAAAGGGGACTGACCAGCGGCAAGAACTTTATCTCGCATCCTTTTCTCATGAAGCTGGGAACGGTAGGCAGCGTTCAGACTTCGCGACGGCAGCGCTTCGGTCGCGCGTTCGACGCGATCGATGCAGTCGAAAGCATGCGCATCGATCGCGTCGAACGCGCGACCGAAGCGCTGCCGTCGCGAAGTCTGAACGCTGCCGTGCAGAATGCTCTAGTGATTACCCGCGTTGGGTCTTATTTGTGGAAGTAGCGACATGATTAGACTGTAAGTAGTGATTGATAGTGTATGTAAAACACTGCATTGATGTTCTAACGTTTTACACTTCTTTCTTGGGTAATCCATTACTGTTTGAAGATCATAATCTTATTATTAGGACTATCTTACAACTGTCGTTTGAATCTCTGTCACCTGGAGCTAACTTTTGTCGACGTATCATGGCCCTGTCCATTCTGCAGTGTTTTTACGTTGAGGACACAATGCGGCCACATGGAAAAAGTAAGCTTTCTGCGTTACTTGGATCCTCTCAAGTAGTAAGTTGGCGGAAAAGTTCTGTCATTTCTTTTCCAAATTAGGCTTCCTTTTTATAGAAAGGCGTTTAAGGTCGAAAATGTACAGCATTGTTATGTTTTTTTAGAACCTTGTGGATGCCATCGCTTCACTGTGCAGGCCGGCGCAACGTGAAGCTGGACATCCTCTCGGTTTTGACTTGGGCCGGGTCGTCAAGCTTTTTTCATGTGTATAGCGGGTAAGTACAGGAGGCAACTTTCATCTGGAAGGAGCAATGTTTAGGCTATTCCTAGGCCAGTGGAAGCTGCACTGCTACCTTAAAGGGAGACTGTGCGGACGAATTCTTCCATCTGATCAACGATTCGCTTCAAATCTTCCTGCCGCTTTGTGTAGGGATTGACCGTGAAATCAGCTTCCTCACTCAGTAGTTTCACGAGCCACACCTCCCACAAGCTGAGTTCATCTGCTCATTCGAACTTCACTTCGTCTACAAAACTGCAGGCTCCCGCTCTGAAGCATTAGCGTCGTGGAGGGTGTCCGATTAGTGGGGGCGTCGTCATTATGCAGCTCTTTTATTTTGGCTCGGCAGCTCTCCTGCTCGCATCAGGGTGGTAGAAGAAAGATTTTGAATGAGTGGTTCGAGGGTCCGTGCCGATGGCACGGGGTGCAAATATTCTCTTTATTGCGAAAGAAGAAGAAGAAGTAAACGAGTGACCCTAATAGTCTTATTATGAAGCGCAGATACACTGCGTCCACAAATAAATAAATAAATAATAGGAAGTCTATCCATTTCTTTGTATATTCCTCCTCAAATTATCATCCCTTTTCAGGTAACGGGCTCAAAAATGTTAAGCAGAGTTCATTAAAGTATGACATAACTTTCCCGCCAAGCAAATGCTTTCTCTGAGCGCTTTTTATTTTTACTTGCTTTTTTGCTTCAGAACAAGTCCTTTTCGTTTGTCTCCCTTAACTGATTTTTTAATTTGCAACTTTTTCGAAGTAGTTGATACAGTATTCTGGACATATATTTCTTGAAGCTTTTGTTTTAGCAATGTTCTTTGATCAGCTTACTCTAACGAAAACTATAACGCCTCATCAGTTCGCTGCATTGGTTTCCTGTCTCGATGATTCCTTCCAGTTGTGTCAGATATCAGCTTTGGAAATTCTCAAAAAACTCCCTGTTGTGGAAGGATTTGTGAGTTACTACTATATTTCTTCAAAATTCTTTTTCACATGTTTAGTTAAGCTCTTGAGGGTGTTCTATCAAGCTGGAAGCTGAAAGATTTGTTCCATTTACAAAATGTGTCCTCCTATGGACGTTTTCCTGTGTTTCAGAGGCACAGCGGGTTATGTTAGGATGAGCGTAATGACGTTCAGATATAGAACTGGTCTTGAATGACGTATCCAGAAGAAAAAGCTGACAAAGTGCCAAAAAGTCGAGCTTCCCTTCAAATGAGAACCTTTTGGCTCTCCAGTGGACGAGTATACGGCGAATAGTGTGCGTGCTTAGATGAAATATCGCTTGTTAATGCCATTATGATATCAACTCTTTCTCTTACCACGTCACTTCTACAGTCGTGATCTCTACCAAGTTGTTGTCCCATCGAAACGAGTATGTTTTGAAGTGGGCGGGGACCCTGCGTCTTGGGTGTGGGCAACCTAGGTCACAAGCTTCTAGCTACCTTTCAACACATGCGCCTGACGAAAGTGGCTAGTTATTTTTCCTTGCTGTCAGGACTTTTCACGCTTTCAAATGTTGGAAGCTGTAGAGTATGATGAGATCGTTCGCTGCCCACAATACATTAGCGACGGTTAACTAGAATGCACGGTAAGCGTATGAATTGTAGTTCACGGCGAACCGTGGGACGCGTCAGACGGTATGGAGCTGTAGCGGGCTGCCAAACCTGTTCTCCCGACCGCTTTTGAGCCGAGTAAGACGAAAGACTGTATCACGCCGCCATTGTAATCGCTCGTTTCCCAACAACTGTTGTCGCACACAAACTTCAATAGCTGGCAGAGGACGGGTTTTCCACCGTGGCACACTCATGCTGCCTGACACGCCCCACCGTCGCAGTGATTTACAGTGTACGTGTCATGTTAACGTGCGATGTAGTGTAGACATTATTGCAAGGTTCGTGAAGGAGTGCCAGTTGACTATTAGTGTTGGCTGGCTCACCAGTTTCGACGTACAACTCCCCATTCGAATTTTTCGTATGTTAGACTGCAGGCACTCAGAGACTAAGCACCGGCCCTGACCTACTCTTTCACCAAATGTTTCAGTTTTATGTGAACTATCATGAGGCATCGATGAAAGAATTACTGGAATATCTCGTAAACGTTTGCGAAGAAAACACAAAGAAAACCCAAGAGAACCTGGTCAGTTTTGCTCGAACCTTCGTAGCGTAAAAGTTTTCATGGGAAGTCCCATTTTTTCAGTTGAATATCACTTGCAGTTCTATCCATCCGTGGATGAACACAATAGCCCTCCTTCTGGGGAACATTGATTTCAAGAAAATGAGGTAGATATAGATGTTCCAACAAACTGTTCCCCATCCTTTCCTTGAACATTGTACTTTCCTTTTAGCTCGGAACTTCAACAGTGGTGGATACCGTTCTTACAGAAGCGTCTAATTCCTCTATGCTTCGATGTGGCTGCAGTGGTAAGTAGATTGCTATGATTTCCCACTTTCAATGGAATGAAATCACAGCTCACTGCAGCAACATAATTATCGGCCTGAGAAAACTGCCACCATCACAGCCGATGTGGTGAGACGACGCTTACCTTCTCAATCCTTTATCAGTTTTTGTCGCTTTTTGTCACCCACAGTTGATGTCCCTGTCCCTTCCATTATCACTTGCGCTATGAGTTTCGCGCTAAACAGGGATAAACTGCCAAAGCTGTTCAAACACAGCTGGTTTCGCCGAAGACCTATCCTTTTTTGAGATGCGGCGCGCATACTTTTCCCATTTAGAATAGTTGTAGAGTTTTGAATGTGATATAGCCTAGACAATGAGTTGGGGGAAGGGGGGAAGCTGATGTAGAAGTCAGTGTTGCTAACCACCCAAACGAATCTGGCACCCTATTTATTGTCTCTGGAGCGTAAAAGACTTGGTTGGCCTGAGCGGGAACCGATCCGGGATTTCCGCACATGGTAGGAGGTCTACTTGCCACTACTCTATTTCCGCCTTAGTTCGTCCATAATATGGTCAAATACATCACATAAACTTGCTGAAGCCTGAGATAGTTGGTTTATTGCAGGTGACACCAGTGGTACACTCAATGTCGCCCGAGGGCTATATTCCAGAAGAAGCACTGGAGAAAATGGGTGTGTGTTCCTGTTTTTTTTTCGATTTTTCGTACTCTTTCCTTATTACAGTATAGTTTTCTTGTCGAAAAGGTACCTAGATTTAGCTCCTTCACTTACTACTACTACGCTTACTATTCTGTCTGAACTGTTCTCCAAAACAACCATATCCTTTAGCTGTGCATTAAAAGCTTAATTCAGTACGAACCTTTTGTAGCCAATTCTGCAACGAGCGGAGATTGCGTTCAGATGGCGGGCGAGGTGTCGCAACTACTACTGGTTTGTTGCTGGAGGGCTCATAAACACGTATCGGCAATTTTGCAGGGTTGGGCAGTGGTTGAGGTAGGAGGCGGCTTTCTTTGTCTGATCGTGGAACTTTAAATTGATAGTCATATATACGTTATGTGTACTACGTTTTCATTTAGTGCTGCCCACATTCCATGCTCACATCTGAAGATGTTTGTCGCATTGGCGATTTTTATTGGTTGCAGCTTACAGAATGCAAACATTGCGGAGCCTTCGAAACCGCAGTGGAAGGGTCTGTTTTAGGTTTCTTGCATGGTGTGAAATTTGCTGGAACTCCAAAATCACAATTATTTTTCAGCTTCTCTTCATTGTGTGCTTTCCTTT